TCGGAAAAGATGCTTGATACGATTTCAATTTTCTTAAATTTTTGAGGCTTGACTTGTGACCCAAGATGTCATCTATCCTGGAGAATGTTCCATGTGAACCTGAGAAGAAAGTGTATTCTGCCACTTTAGGTGGAATGTCCTATAAGTATCAATCAAATCTATCTGGTCTATTGTGTCATTTAAAGCTTTTGTTTCCTTATTTATTTTCTGTCTGGATGATCTGTCCATTGGTGTAAGTGGGATGTTAACATCCCCCACTATGACTGTGTGTTACTGTTGACTTCCTCTTTTATGGCTGTTAGCATTTGCCTTATGTATTGAGGTGCTCCTATGTTGGGAGGATATTTAAATCATATTTATTTTATTTAAATCATAAATATTTATAATTGTTATATCTTCTTGGATTGATCCCTTGGTCATTATGTAGTGTCCTTCATTACCTCTTTTTTTTTTTTTTGTGGTATGCAGGCCTCTCACTGTTGTGGCCTCTCCCATTGTGGAGCACAGGCTCCGGACATGCAGGCTCAGCTGCCATGGCCCACGGGCCCAGCCGCTCTGCGGCATGTGGGATCCTTCTGGACCGGGGCACGACCCCGTGTCCCCTGCACCGGCAGGCGGACTCCCAACCACTGTGCCACCAGGGAAGCCCCGTTATCTCTTGTAACAGTCTTTATTTTAAAGTCTATTTTATCTGATATGAGTATTGCTACTCCAGCTTTCTTTTGATTTCCATTTGCATGGGATATCCTTTTCCATCCCCTCACTTTCAGTCTGTATGTGTCCCGAGATCTGAAGTGTGTCTCTTGTAGACAGCACATATATGGATCTTGTTTTAGTATCCATTCAGCCAGTCTGAGTCTTGGTTGGGGCATTTAATCCATTTACATTCAAGGTAATTATCAATATGTATGTTCCTACTGCAATTTTCTTAATTGTCTTGGGTTTGTTTTTGTGGGTCTCTTTCTTCTCTTGTGTTTTCCACCTAGAGAAGTTCCTTTAGCATTTGTTGTAAAGCTGGTTTGGTGGTGCTGAATTCTCTTAGCTTTTGCTTATCTGTAAAGCTTTTGATTTTTCCATTGAACCTGAATGAGATCCTTGCTGGGTAGAGTGATCTTTGTTGTAGGTTTTTCTCTTTCATCACTTTAAATATGTCCTGCCACTTCCTTCTGGCCTGCAGACTTTCAAAAATCAGCTGAGGGCCTCCCTGGTGGCGCGGTGGTTGAGAGTCCGCCTGCCGATGCAGGGGATACGGGTTCGTGCCCCGGTCCGGGAGGATCCCACATGCCGCGGAGCCATGGCCGCTGAGCTTGCGCGTCCGGCAGGGGGAGAGGCCACGACAGTGAGAGGCCCACGTATTGCAAAAAAAAAAAAAAAAAAGTCAGCTGATAGCCTTTTGGTAATTCCCTTGTATGTCATTTTTTGTTTTCCCTTGCTGCTTTAAAATTTTTTTTCTTTTTATTTAATTTTTTTTAGTTTGATTAGTATGTGTCTTGGTGTGTTTCTCCTAGGGTTTCTCCTGTATGGGACTCTCTGCACTTCCTGGACTTGGGTGGTAGTTTCCTTTCCCATATTAGGGAACTTTTTGACTATAATCTCTTCAAATATTTTCTCAGACCCTTTCTCTTTCTCTTCTTCTTCTGGAGCCCTTTTGATTCGAATGTTGGTGTATTTCATGTTGTCCCAGAGGTCTCTGAGGCTGTCCTCAATTCTTCTCATTCTTTTTTCTTTGTTCTGCTCTTTGACAGTTATTTCCACCATTATATCTTCCAGCTCACTTACTCGTTCTTCTGCCTCAGTTATTCTGCTATTGATTCCTTCCAGTGTATCTTTCATTTCAGTTATTGTGTTGTTCATCTTTGTTTCTTTGTTCTTTAGTTCTTCTGGGTCCTTGTTAAACATTTCTTGTATTTTCTTGATCCGTACCTCCATTCTATTTCTGAGATTTTGGATCATCTTTACTATCACCAGTAAAGATGAATTCTTTTTCAGGTAGGTTGCCTATTTCCTCTTCATTTATTTGGTCTTATAGGTTTTTACCTCCCTCCTTCATCTGTAACATATGTTTTTGTCATCTCATATTTTGATGGGTGGGGCTGTGTTCCTGTCTTACTGGTTGTTTGGCCTTTGGCTTCCAGCTCAGGAGTTTGCAGGCCATTGGGTAGAGCCAGGTCTTGGTGCCGAGATGAGGACCTCCAGGAGACCTCACTCTGATTAATATTCCCTGGGGTCTGAGGCTGTCTGTTAGTCCAGCGATTTGGACTCGGTGCTGCCACCACAGGAGCTCAGGCCTGACCCCTGGCGTCCCGGGAACCAAGAATCCATAAGCTGTGTGGCACAGCAAAAAAAAAAAAAAAGCAGAATAACAAAGAATAAAAAATAAAATTAAATTAGAAAAGTAAAAAATACATTAGGAAAAAAAATAAATGAACAACAACAAGGCAAAACAAAACCACAGCAGCAAAAATAAAAAAAAAAGAAAGAGAGTCCAGAAAAGTCCTTGGCTGGGGGAGTGGGGAGGGGCTTAGGTGGGGGCGGGGCTTATGCTCAGGACCCATGCAAGTCCTGAGAGGGGTGGCAGGGGCAGGGCTTAGGCTCAGCGTGCCTGGAGGTGGCCTCGGAGGGTGGAGGTTCAGGCCTGGGACTCCAGCAGGCTCCTTGGGGCCCAACTACATGGGGGGAAATGCTGGACCCATTCCTTTCCCATCCTCCAATCCCCCAAAAGTCTATCCCCATCTCCGCTAATTCTCTTGCTGTAAGTGGGCCCCTCTGAGCATGGGAACCCCTTCCCTCCCCCATTCACCCCTCAGGGGTGCTGGTCCTGTCCCACCTCCACTTCTCCTCCTCCCCTCCCTCCCTCCCAAGTCCTACTCAGTCGTGTGGGGGTTCCTCCTATCCCCTTAGGTTTCCAAGGTCCCCCACCAGTGCCTGGTAGGTGCCCTAGTTGTGAGGAGACGTGAACTCTGTGTCCTCCTACTCTGCCATCTTGACTCCCCCTGTCATCTTTCTTCTTCCCACACTTCATATGCTTGGAAGTTCTAATCCTTCAGGATTTACAGCTGGCTAGCAGTAAAAGTGGGAACATGAGACCTTGCTTGGGGTCTCATGCTTCACAGAAGCTTAGCATAAAACTCTCTAGTAGAGTATCAGGGATTTGACCACCTAATAAAGCCTTTGATTTACAATTTGCTATTACATTTATGGGTAGAGCTGTCCTGAGGGCATCTCAGCATATTTGGTAAGGCATAATTCAAGTATTCCAGGCTCACCTGGTCAATTACCATCATAATCCCATATTACGCATCCATCAAAGCATGGGTTCCTTTAGGGAAATGAAGGAGAAAAAAATTCTATTGTATCTTCTCATTCAATGAAGTAGTGTGTGTGTGTGTGTGTGTGTGTGTGTGTGTGTGTGTGTGTGTATAAAATATATATACATATTTATTTTGGCTAATCAGTAATTTTTAAGGAATTCCAGATACTCTTTTTGTTTAACTGTTTATTTCCTCTCTTTTGTCCACATGCACATATGTGGAATTATAAAATTCTCTCTTGGCCGCATGTATCAAATATCAACTTTATCAATTTCATCATGAACTCTTTCTTAGATGGTTAGAATTTTCTCTTCTTGTGTGCTCAAGCATTACAATGTTGATTTGATTCTTCCTGACATTACAGTGGATTGTTTCCCTGTCACTCCACCCAGGTTTTACATTTTTTGAGGACAAGAAACATGTCTGTTTCATCTTGCACTGTCCACAATATTGGGCCATAGAGCGTGATGCTAATTAAATGATAATGCACTTACAATAGAACTTTGGCAAAAAAGGAGTCTTGCTCTCCTTAGTTATCAAATATTTTTTTCCAGTTTCTTTTTAGCAGATCTTGCCTTGTTCTAAACTGAGTTTATTGAAGCCACACAACTGGAACTTCCTCATTCCCCTCTTTATCACCCCAAACCTTCCTATTTCATTCATGTATCTGAAAAAGTCTTTCTCTTTTTATTGCCATGTGTGACAATTATTTGGATTCCAATCAACATTTGGAGAGTACTTTCTCTTTTCTTCTCCTTTTTATCTTCAATTTATCCTAAGTACAGGTGACTTTCACTTGACTCAGAAACTTAGGAAGGTCTTTTCTAGCTTAAAAGCAATTTTCCCTTAGTGTTGCTTTTCTCTCAAGAGAGAGTCTCACCTTTTCCCTTATTTTCACTTCCAAAATTCCCGAAGGACTGCTTACATCTGCTGCCTTCATTTTCTCATTTTAATTCACTCTTTACCTTTTTGAAATATTGCTTCTACCGTTAACACTCTGTTCCATTGAAGGTTTTTGGTGCCCACTACTTATAAAATGCAATAATGCTTTCTTTTCTTTTATCCTCTTAGCCATTTTTGCAGCATTTTATTCTTTTGAGAATCCTCTCTCCATGTTTTTTTTTTTTTCTTCCCCCTGTCTTGGTTTACAGGAAATCCTCTTCAGGTAATTCTCAGTCTCTTCAATTTCTTCTCTGATAATCCTTTCCCTAACACCTCATAAGGTCCATGCTTCAGAATGCTGTCTACTGTCTTCTTTATTTACACACTCTCTGTAGGCAATGTGAACGACCCCATCGGCATGGAGATCTATTAGTCACAGCAGGCCAGGGACAGTGCTATATGAGGATAGTAAGATCCATGATAAACAATCTGCCCAGTTCTTCTAAGACCACATACCTTGCAGAGCAGTTTTTTCTTTTTCTCCTAGCCGGTTTCCATGTACCTAAACTGCTGCCAGTGATTCTGCAGGTAAACAGTTCTTGAGTGGTAACTACTTCATGAAAGTATTCTACCCAGCACCTAATGACACAAAGCTCCTCTGTCTTGATTGGTTATCCATGTGAGGACTTTCCAATCCTGGGGAGGCCAGAAAGGTATCTCTATTCTTCATGAATATTTTTGACTGAGTTGTGTGTGGGCAAGCCCCATTCTGAAGAGGTGGACGATTTTTCTGTCTCGCTTGTTTTCTTCCAGAATGGGTTCTAGCTGGGTTCCCTGGGTGGTGGCTTTGTTAGTGACGGTAATCAGGCTGGATTCCTCCATGACCCAAGGCAGAGATTCTCCAGGTAAGGACACAGTGATTTCTTTCATGTGTACATGCAAAAACTGGCATGGGGGAGGAAGGCCTTTCCCTAGAGGTCCAGGCTCCGGTCCAGGCTCCATTCCAGACCGGAAGGGGCTTCTGGTTTCAAAGAGAGTCTTCTTCCCTTTGACAGGAAATTATTCCTTCCCTCTTTACCACATGCAATGGACCGGCAGGAAAAGGGTCTTCCTGTCCCACAGCCATGGATTCAAGGAGTCCGGAGGCAGGAAAAAGGGAAACATTGCTTGCTTAGGGTCCTTATGGTATTAATGTCGGTCTGGAGAACTGTAAAAAATGGAGGCAGTCTGAGAATAGCTGCTATCCTTCAGCCAGGAGTTTGATGATTGTGACTGTTTCCGTATGTATCCAATTGAGGTATATGTGAATAAAAGAAATTGGAAACGAAGGTTGCTTCATTTGACATTTTTAAGCCCCTATAATATGGTCAGATTGTATGAAGTGATCTTGAGAAATGAGAGAAATTGAATGTATTAGAAATTGTATCAGGACACGGCTCAAACCCGTGTCCCCTGCACTGTCAGGCAGATTCTTAACCACTGAGTCACCAG